CCTTCCAGCGGTGTAAGCCGAGCCACTGCCTGGGTGAGGGACGCTATCTGGCCTAGCAGGTGTGAGAACATCGCCTCGTGGCGGACCAGCATCGTCTCCTGCGACGCGAGGGCTCGCTGGACTGGGTCTTGGTCTGCTGAGTCCATATTCCGGCTGGAACGTTCTGTCATGGCTACTGAACGGACTCACGCGCAGACAGTTCTTTTCAAGGAAACACAAAAGGGGATTTATTTACAATGGGGATCACCTTAGTGCAAAATATATGTACAGTGAGTTGGGAGGGGGTCCAGGGCTCCAGGGAGAGAAGGGCGGGGGGAATCCACACACGCGCTTCCTTTTCCACTCAGTCACCGCCACCGCTCCTCCGCACACACGCACTCCTCTTCAGCCGCACTCGCTCCCACACTCCACACACTGCCCCACTTGGACAGGTCCGGTGATTTGGTCCAGAATCTACAGACAAGAAGTGCACGGTTAGTTCCACAACAGGAAAAACAAACCAAACTTCTTCGAATAAGCCGCGAGCACGAACTCAGGTAGTTTAACGTTCCAGCGGTGAGCTGCTCTGTGCCACTGCCTTAAATAGCAGCTGGGGAAATCAGCCAGATCAGCAGCAGGTGGACATCATCACACGGGTGCGTGGGCCAAGAGCGAGAGCCCGTAATGAGCTCCACCCAGGCAGAGAGGAGGAGGAGAGAAAGAAAACCAAAATGAACAACAACAAAACCTGTAGCCAGCGTGGGCCAGCCAGAGAGACACGGGGACCGTGACAAAACTAGTTATTGAAGTGGATCTAAAGTGGACAGACTCGCACTAGGCAAACAAACTTTCATGTGAAGTAAGAATGTAATCAAAGTGCTGATCAGAGGGAAGGTAGTTTAAAAGTTTTAGGACGCAAGAGTCCACAATGTTAGCTTGTAACGTTTATGTTGTTGTTTAGGCATCTCTTGTTAGCTGTCCAGAAACAGGAGGGTTGCAGAATAAAGACACAATAAAGACACAGTAAAGACTTGCACAGGTCCTTTAAATCCAGAATCATAGAAGGAAGTCAAAAAAACATTAGGATCTAAGCTGTAATTATCATGGCTGAGCTTTCTCTGTTTTTCCATTTTTAATTCTTTAAATAGTATACCTGTAGATAAAGCACCTATTGCATGCATTATTGTATTTTCATTTGCAGATTTTCTGCAAATTCTGTTCATATTTTTTTACTGTGTTTGGGAAAATGCAAAAAATATATTTTTAAGACCTGCTTCTGTAATAAATACACAAACTAGTTTGTGTCTCACACTAGTAAGTTGGTGTGCAATAGTTAGAAGGTTAGGAAGGTCAGTGATTCGACTCCTTCAGTCTAAAGTATCCTTGGGTAAGATACTGAACCTGAAGTCACCCCCAGTACATCCATTGGAGACGATATTTGTGTTTGTGTGTGCACATGTTAGAAAGTGCCTAGACATAGATAACTGTAGGAATGTGTACGTGATTGCGTGAATGATACTTGTATAAAGTGCTTTACGTTCTCAGATGTGTAGAACAGTGCTATTTAAGTAGCAGTCTTGCTTAGATAGACTCAATAATTATCTGCATAAGTAGCATAGACTATAAAGCAATTAATGCAAGGCTACCTGCTGCATTATGTAACCTTCATTTTGCATCCCAAACTGTGGTTATAAAATGCTGCAGGAGTCTGGAGCATTTCAAAACTGAAGTTTGTGTAAATGTTCTTTGGTAATGCCAGACAGCTCGTGCCAAAATAGGACAGTCCAATAAATCTGGAAGCTCTTCCAGAGACAGGAATTATCATATTATAATAACTATATTATAAAACAACCATAAACAAAGATAAGGGTGAAACACAGTAAAAGTGGTCCAATAGATAAGACTGATCACTAACTCTGTTACATAATTGCAAGGACTTCAGAGTGACTGCAAATCTTAACGTGCAATGAAGTGCCCTGTCTGTGACCTCCAGTCTGTTTGAGGGATGTTTCAGAGTCTAATTATGCACTTCAAGCCAAATCTTAAATGAGCAAAATACAAGGGAGTGAAACTGCTGTCTCCTGAGAACAGCTCTCCGTAGACAACATCTGAAAAAACGAAGAAGAAAAAAATGCTTTATACTTGGTTAAATTTAGTGAATCTTTTGTTATGATAAAACGTGAATGCTCGGGGTGGACAGGAGAGCAGGGTCAGCAGCACAAGGCTCCAGTTTCCGTCTAACTGCTGAAACCTTATTGTGCATTCCTTATCTGTCGCGCCTCTGGGACAGCTTTGGGGCCATAAATATGTCATTTCCAGTTCCATGTTTTTCCAGGGTGAGTGCAGCTATTCTCTGTCTCTGTGCCAGCTCCAGACAAGCATTTCTGGCTTATTGTTCAAAATCAGCAAACAATGTCAGTGCCACATGCCGGCCATACCACGCATAAGCTTTATTCCGCAAGAAAACACACACTTCCTGAGTCACTTATACCCGAATGTGTTTTTCCATATAAGGCGCCATGTTGAGGGGACATTTTAGGGCAAATGTCAGTTTTTCAGCATAAAAACATCGGCTGCTATGACACTTGCTGTGTGTTTATAACGAGAGTTTCAAGTAGGGGAACGCCTCACAGCCTTATCAGCGCAACTCAGCCGGGCTGCGTTGGCCTCCAGTCACCTCCAGGCATAAACAGAGCCCAACAACCCTCTCATGTCAAGTCCAAAATGTAAGCACACTGCTAACTGGAAAAGGAAGATACAATCTGCTGTTGCAGTTTTTGGAACTAGTGAAAACCCATTTTTAGTTAATTGGAGTAAAGTTTGCTTTCAAAAATAGCACTTAAAAAAAGTGTGTCTGTGTGGGGTTTTTTGCAAACAGTTTAAATCTAACAGAGACTTATTTCAGCCAGACGACAGTCACATCACAACACTATACACAGCACGAGGAAACGAACACTCACGCAGTGAACACATTCTCTCTGTGTTAGAAAGCAAGCTAACAGTTCTAATTAATCCATTCCTGTTATGCCCACTTTTACCTAGCGGCCAGCTGGGCCAACAAATTTACAGAAACAAATGACTCATGCACTAAGACAGATGGTTATTGTTGTATTTGTGTCCTACATTAGTGCTAAGATATATATTTGTGTTTTCTTTTGTTGATTGGTGACTTATTTTTATTTCTTCCTTTCTGTCTGTCTGTCTGTCTGTCTGTCTGTCTATCAAAGTAAGTAATAAAAATGAGCCAACTGGAGACCTTTCTGTATTATACTGATCCAAATTTAAAGAAGGAGTCATTCAGAATTTTCTTGGTGTCCCCTCAAGTAGGGTAACGTCATAATGAGCAGCCACTCATTAGTCCAGAATTACTTCCCCATTGCTATTTATGTTTGCCCTCAAGCAAAAGAAAGAATCTGATACCCACATTCCTGCCATTTCCTCTAACAATGGAGATTCTGATGTTTTAAAAAATGTAATGAGCAGAGGTTGTGTCAACTAAAATAAACTAATAAGACTCTTGAAGAAGAGGCGAGCATCCCTCATTCAGACTGCTTTTATGAAATGAATTCCTTTTGTAAACAACCTTTGGCAGTATCACGAAGACACAGAGAGAACAGATCCATCCACATCACGTGCACTAGCAGTATAGCACAGAGAGATGAGAAATACACGGGTGGGTTAGGGGGGTTATGACCCCCGCAATAATTAGACCCAACCAATATAACCCCCGCAATAAAATTATGAATTATCTTGCATAAATAGGCTGTTGATTTTCTTTACTCCTTTCAGTTATTACCAGCAAAATAGTTGCATGTTTAATCATCTAGGAATTTACCCAGATTGATTTAGACAGAGATCTTGACGCCCCCAATGTTCAGCACAAAGTTGTGTCGATGGAGAAATACCAACGCGAATGAATTCTTCAGAATCTTTTGATTTCTTTAAGGAGACCCTTGTCAGTTATCGTGGCACACAGAATTCAGTTTTCATAACAGAGCATTTCTGTTAAGCAGTTAAGTTACTGTAATCAACAGGCCTTACAGATAAAGCGCACAATGGTTTCATCAGGCTTCTCCCTGTGTGTGTGTGTGTGTGTGTGTGTGTGTGTGTGTGTGTGTGTGTGTGTGTGTGTGTGTGTGTGTGGAGTGCTTAGGGACTCTCCTAATACGTTGGGCTCGGAGGGGCGGTGCGTCTGTTTGCTTCACAACTACTGATGTCACCGGCTGGGAGTGCGTCCCGGCAAACTCACACCCCACACTGCCTCCATAAATATCCTACCGCTCATGCTCAACGGCACTCACCCAGCCTAACGTTCAAGCCTGAGCCGCTCCACAGAAACAGTGCGCACCGAACAACTCCCCCTTACCGAGTTGGAGGGCCACAGCTGGAGCGGAGAAACTATACTCTACAGACACAAAAAGCTAAGATGTCTTCCTACGTATCCTCTGAATGCCGCCGGGTCAGCCCATCCGTCCACGGCAACAAGTTCGACACGGCGCACCGCAAGAAAGCCGTGGCCAACATTTTCGAGAACGTCAACCAGGACGCGCTGATGAGGCTTTTCCAGAAAACGGGCGACATGAAGGCGGAGGAGAGAGTGAGGAGCATATTCTCCTACACGCAGGATCCGGAGGAGACGGCCCGGGCACTGATGGCTCTGAAGCAGCGAAAGAAGGACAAGTTCCTGCAGATTGCGGGGATGGTGCGGCAGATGTTCAAACTGCGCTGACTGTGTTTTAGCAGTTTCACCGCCTTTGTCTCTCTGTGTGTCGGCTCGTGTGTGAGCCGAATGTTGAGAACACTCCCGGTGTGTCTGGGCTGTGGCTCACCTGTCGCCTGGAGACGAGCGTCAGGTGCCGAAGGAAAAAAGAAAGCTCAGCCGGCGGCGTGCGGCGGCTGTCGCCTCATGGACGGAGGGGACAGCGCGGAGTCCTGCCCGGAGCGGGCTGGAGCGACATGAACTAAGTGGGAATATGAAGGGAATACATTTAAGTCTTCATGCAGACTTGAATTTACTGATGCACTCTTGTGGGTGCGTGACTGTACTGATGCAAATCGCTGTGCTGATGATGGCGCACAGCTGCAATGTGAGACTTCATGGTGCCCTGGAACCTGCCTGTATGAATGCCTATCCTGAACACATGCCTTGTCCCTCAGCTTTACTTTGTTGTACGACTACAAGTTATTAGTGGCCAATGTGTTATTGTCACCAACATGTCTCAGCACAATGAACTGCATTTATGAAAAGTTCCTTTTGTTTGTAATTTTATAAAATAAATTATTTTGTTGTATACTATAACTGAATCCTTGTTCATCTTTCTTACACGTGTCACACATGGTCTTTGGTAACCACCAATCAGGGCACATCAGGTCAACATTTGTGGCACATTAGATTTGTGGGCTTAACACTGTTATACTGCATTAGAGTATACACGGGGCATTTTAAGTGTTACAAAATAGTCTCGAGTCTACATGAAATACTTTTAGCTTTTTAAAAAAATGACATCACACTCAGAGCTTGACCTATGTGCTCAGCGTTAGTCACACACAGGGAAAACCCTCATGTCAGACACAATTCAAGTTACCATAGAAATGGGTAAATAATGATGTAAATGACCTTTGTCTTTGACGTTAAGTGCAGGTGGATAGATCACAGAGTAGTGTAACAGCTTGTGTGTAGAGTTGAGTCATGTAATCTAGGATAGGGTTTATTTCTTAGTGAGCAAACAAAACAACCAAAAAAGACACTATCAGCACATTTCTACCTCTAATGTTCTTCACTGTGACACAGCAGAGGGCATTCAAAGAGGATAGAGTTACTCACGAGAGGATGTGGTTAACCTTCACTGGGTTTCCCTCACAGCTCTTTACCAGACCGGTGTAAACCAGTTTGGCTCAGGCTAGGATGGGAGGGTAGGGAGGTGAGCAGCTTTCTCCACACAGTGTATTTTACACTGGACTCTATTTAATCATGCAAGGCTTCTAGATAAGAGCTTGTCTAAGTAGCATTAGAGGGTTTAGATGAGTTGAGGGTTTGACTCCTCACCCTCTGATTCTTTATCTTCAAGTTAACCATAAATGGGCCCTTTATTAAGACAATCACCCACTCCATTAACATCCAAATTTCAAATCATTTTTGATGTTTTTTATGTCTGTGGTCTATGGTAGGCCGTGTATGTAGGCTTAGCTGCAGACACACAGATCACTCTGCCTGCTAATCTCCCTGCTCTGATAGTCACTCTACCGGCTCAAACCAGTTCTCTGGGTTGTTTTTCATGACGACATCTTAGCTGCAGGCGCTTCTCGCATGTGCTTACAGTTAAGGGAAATGTCAGTATCAGTCACTCTAAGGTGTGGAGCTCTCAGGTGAGAAATCACCTGTGATGGTGGAAAAAGGAGTGCTTTAAAATGACTCCTTTGCAGCTTGTAATGATAATACAGAAATGTTGAAAAAATGTAATCATATTAATCTGTACAATAAAGACATGTAATTGAAGTACATAAAGTTTTTTAATTTGACTGCTTAAGTCAATAAAACTAATGATACTGATCAGAGTTATTATAGTTTTGTATTTTCTACTCTTTGTTTTTATTTGGTTTCCAGAGAGGATTTTCTTCTTTCAGATTAGTTTTTCTTGTTGGAAAATGTTTATTTTGGTTTAGTTTTGATCATTTTCAGTGTTAGTTTTTCGTTTTATTAATTATTATTGTACAAAGAGCATATGTCAAAGACAAGTCTTAGCAAAATCAGTACCTGTACTATAATAAACAAAATAAACATAATTTTATAAGCAGCTGACTCAAAGGGCAAGCTCTAAATAAATCTATAACTAAACCAAACTAAAATATACTAAAACTGAGGATATTTCCTTTAGATATTTTAAATTTTATTTTAGTTAGTTTTCCAAGTTTACTCAGTCATCTCACATGTGTTTTAGTCTAGTTTTTGTTTCTGTTTTATTTCAGAGCGTTCTCACTCCCGAGGCGTAACATGTCGACGTTTTGTCTCGTCCCGCGGCGTTCCTGAGGAACGCGAAAGGAGACCTTCGGCGTTCTTAGGGTACGCGGCGGGTTATGGCTGGAATCCAGTGCAATGACGCTCCCGCGGTAGTAGACGTTCCAGCCCTGTATTCCAGCCCTAAACCTAACCTTATCCCTAGCCCTGACCATAACCTTATTCCTGACCTTAACCAGGACTTTAATGATGTTAAATAGCGTGTTTCTAAGCGATTTGAAGAAAAAGAGCGAACATGTGTAGGTTCAGTCCAGACGGTTCTCATATTTCCTCTTTTTCCGAGGTCGTCATTTAGGAACGTGGTGGGTAGCCGAAAACGTAATATGGTGACGATTTGTCACCTAGCGTAAAATGTTACGCTTTGGGAGTGAGAACGGGTTGTTTATTTTATTTAACTGATTTTTAAAAAACATGTAGTTTTAACTTTTAGTTTACTTTTAATTTACTGAAATAACCTTAATTGAGTGAAAATGTTGTAGACAATTTATTTGGCAGTGAACTTAATTTAAAGTTTCCACAGCTAATGTTTTTAATAATGATATTGTATCATCATGAAGCAAAGTAACATTACATAACTAACCGCTTGTAGTGAGAAACCTGCTGAGAATTATTGCTTAAACAGCAGCTTTATGGAGGTTTACAGTGGATTTCAGCTCATTGTTCAGCTGGTCGAGCCCCAACATAATATTTTGGTTCACTCTCCGTTCTCATAGTGTCAGTTTTGGACGCAGCAGGCAACTGTTTTCAACAAAAATGCTGGAAAAACCCAGTTTGCAATATCTGCCAAGGACCAGAGAGCAGAGAGAAACACTTAGCAGCTTGCCGGTGAGTACAGAGGAGCATGAGATGAGATGGAAAATAATTAGTGTTTATCAAGAACCACAACTATTCATATATTAACACACTTATATATTAACATAATGGGAGACATCAGTGCTCACAGTTTAACTTGTCCTCCAAGCCTAAAGTGGCTAAAAAAAGTTTAGTATTCAAGGTTTATCTAACTTTATAAAAGCTCATAAGCTAAATAATCATTTTTGAATATACAACTATTCGTTTTTTAAAAAAAATGAAACTGTAATGTATCCTGTTTAATATCTGTTTGCTAAGTCTCCAGCTAGCAAGTTAATTTAGCTTAGAAGACTTATTAGCGCCATAGGCTTGCTAATCTGCTAAAGTACAACATGACATTTCTAATGGCTTAAATAAAGAAAATATAAAGAGTCAGTTATACTTTAGAGCTCACTTTCAGTGTATTTTAATGATTTTGAATGGAATCGGGCTCCTTTGTTAAAGTGCCTATATGCTATGCTAGGCTAACTTCAGTAGTTTAAGTTTGAACGTCCAGTAGCTCCTGTCTTTTCATGTGACTGTGAATATATATATTTCTCAATAGGCAATAAATATTTCAAAATAAATATTCTTAAGTGGTATGTTTGTTTGTTTATTGTTCAGGTGAATTTATGACTTTATTACAGGTTGCAAATCATGCCATTTATTTTTTACTCTTTTATCTCACAGCTGTTCCTTTTGTTTATATCATGTATCTCACTGCAGGCAGCTCTTTGCCACCCCTTTTTTCCTTTAATGGCTGTTCAATTGTTAAGGAAAAGAAAGCTAAATATTCAAGGCAGTTGTCTTGGCTGTCTTTGCTGTGTTGGCAGAGGTGTGCGGGATTGAACACAGGCCTGTTGTCTCCCACCCTCTTCCTGCCTTTCATAGGCTTTAGAAATGGCCAGTGCTTTGATGTCAACAGACACTGTGGCAGACAGCATTTGAGCCTAGAGGACAGTAACCACAATGAGGGAGAGAGGGAGGAAGATACAGGGTGGAGGTGTGAGTGGCGAAGGGTCAGGGATACAATAATAAAACATAGCAATATAAATCATAATATAACAATAGTTGACAAAAAAAATCAGCTGAATGTGAAAGGTGCCTGAATGAATCAAACACACACACACACACACACACACACACACACACACACACACACACACACACACACACACACAC